AATTATTCTAAAATGATAAACATTATATTCCAATCTTTATTACTTGGGTTTTGTTGACTACTTGTGCTTTCTACCTTGGTATTTTCAGTACCTCTTCTCAACATGCAGAACCCACACCCTCCCCTCCCCTTCCCTGAATGGGACATCGTCTTGTAATGTAATTTTTGCACAATTAGAATTGTTGATGCGACCTTGGAAAGAAAGGATAAATAAAACTGAGATTGAAGCAAAGGAAACATGCCAGCACAACAATAAAAGCTATTTATATTTTTTGCAAAACACAAACTGCACGTAGCAGCTATTCAGGGTGAATCTGAACTTGATGCTGCAAGGACATGGCTAGTTATGCAAGGCAGAGTGGAAAGGTGGCCTTCCTGCATGCCCTAAAGTAATCTTCTTTATAAGATTATAAGTTTTTTAAAATAAGCATTCAATGTCAAAAATTCCAAAAAATAGTTCAATTTAGGGTGGTCTTGGGTCTTGTGTATGACTGTGCAATACAGAAGTGTTTGATGTGAACCACTGACAACATTAGAAAAAAGAAACAAAATTTACCTATACATTATTTGTCCCAAGCACCCAATTATTTCCCTTTTTATAAAAAGTATACAGGTATATATTTAAAATGAAACACTAAAAGTAAAATAACTTAATATGCTGTTTTCATTTGAGTTTAAATGCTATTCAGTATTAAATGTTATTTAATAAGTTTGGATCAGAGGTATTTAATGTTTACATTTACATTGTTTGTTTGTTTGTTTGTTTGTCTTACTAAAATTAATAAAGTGAACTAAATGAAACAGTAATGTTTTGCAGATTCCTGTACATCAGCTCAGAGTAGTTATATCACTATAATGGTGCCTTTTCTTGCTGGCACCTAGTAAGAATTCCAGAATGATTTTGTGTATAACTTTAAATAAATTTGTTCTCTATCATTATTTTTGTTTTGTCTCTCTTCCATTCCTCTCACCTGTCCTAACTAGGCTGAGAGCTGCCTGTAATCCTCACACTTGACTCCCTAAGTTCCCAGTCACAGCCCTGATAACTTGTACTGAGCACACGCTCGGACTGACGGTGGCCCACTCCTTGGATTGTAGTGATACAGAACCCCAAATCCTGACTGCCTCAAGTAGCTGACTGACTATGTTCAAGCCTGAGATAAGATGCTGGCTTTGACGAACTGTGGTAGGACTGATAATTCTCCCTTGATTTAGTTGAGGACTATTCCCCTTAGACTTTGAGTCACAGTCATTTCATGGAAGCATGTGTGTTTGCCACTAAGCACATTTTGTTGGTGGCACTTCACTGTATGGCACTATTTGACATCAACGTCCACTTCCTTAACTGCTGACTGCTAAAAAACAGCAGTGAGCTGCAGCTGCCAGGTACCATCTCTGAATTTCATTTTGGGACTAGTTGCTGTTTAGTTTCTCTCTGGTGCATGGAAACTCATATCAATGAGATTAAACACTAACAACATATAAATGTTTGCAAATAGGCTTCTCACTTCATTAGTGAGATTCTCAGTTTGCCATTCAAAACTTGGTTTCAGGGTCTGACATTTTTTCCTTCAAGTCCTAGAATCTTATTTATTTCGAACTCAAAGATTTCCAACTGGTTGGCTATTCCCATACCATTCAGGGAATAGGAACATTAAGCCCATTGTGTGCAAATCAGCTGCCATGCATGGCTACGTAACAGGGTCCAAAAAATTCTATTTGCTTTGGGTGTGGTCCCATAGAGAGCATTGTTTTGGAGCTTTGATATTTTAATGGACAAAATATTTGCTATCTATATAATCTGTCAAATCTTCACAATCATGTAAAGGGTATTTTTTTATAGATCAATAAAATAGCAAAAATGACAATAATAACACTGAATAACATTGAATTCTGAAGAGTGTTTTGCAACGCAACTATTTCATTGTGATCTGTATGACACCTCAAAGGATCCTTTCTTCCTGTAACTGCATTAAATGCTTGTTTATTGTCTATAGGCAGGTCAACAAGCATTGAGGCAAAGTGCCTGCATAGTAACTTTGATAGATTGGAAGTGTATCCACATGGTTGAAATCCATCATTCCAATTTGGTCCTGTGCTGTCAACTCTCAGATGACCAGTGTTCCAAAGGAGGGCAAAGAAACTGCTTCAAAGATATTCCGAAGCTGTCCTTGAAACTCAGCAACTGCCCATAAAACTCCATCACAGTTTGATTCCCAACATTTCAATGATGATGCAGTATGATGACCTGCCTCACACACCCAAAGATCTGTTGATCAAAAGTTGGCCTGATCCATCACTAGACCTGTGGCAGAAACAATAAACTTGAATTTTGGGGCAACTGACAATTAAGGATACGGAGTAATTTGATTACAATGAAAAAAATTTTAAACTTGATGTGTGGCTGGACAGAGAACCAATTTGGGGCATAAAATACGGGAAGTGATTAACAATTAGAATTACATTCCAAAAAACACATTTTCTGTTTGTTACCCTATCATTGTGTGCAATTTTGCACTGCTGCTTCCTACATTACCACCAGTGACTGCACTTCAAAAGAACTTCTTCAATAGCATAGTGCTTTGCGAAGGCTTGAGGACAGGAAAATCACTGAAAATGAAAATAAATGCAAACTTTTTTTAAACAAATCTTTCGGCATCTGCAAGCAAGGTGACATCTTTAAGTTGTTGCTCCCTTTCCTCACAATCTGGGCTATTACTTTACCATTAGACCATCAAACAAGGGAGCAGAATTAGGCCAACTGGCCCTTACTTCCTTTTCTTCCATTCAATCATTGCTGATACATTTCCCAATCTCATTCTCCTGCCTTCTCCCCGTAACCCACGATCCCTTTACCAATCAAGAACTTATCTGTCTTAAATATACTCAATTACTTGTGGCAATGACTTCCACAGATTAACTACCTGAAAAAATTCCACCTTATCTCAGTTCTAAAGGGTTTTCTTTCTGCTCTGAGGCTGTGTGCTTGGGTCCTAGTCTCTCCCACTAGTGGAAACGCCTCCATGTCCACTCTATCCAGGCCCCTCAGTATTCTGAGAGTTTCAATTAGATACCCCCACTCCATCCTTCTAAACGCCATTGAGTACATTCCCAAAGTCCTCAACGTATGATAAATCATTCATCCCAGGGATCATTCTTGTGAACTTCCTCTGTAACCCCTCCAATGCCAGCTTATCCTTCCTTAGATAAAACTACTCCATATTCCAACTGCGGTCTGACCAGAGCCTTATACAGCCTCAACAGTATATTTCTGCTTTTATGTTCTAGCCCTCTCAAAATGAATACTAATGTTGCATTTTGTTTTCCTAACTGACAACTGAACCTGTATGTTATTCTTAAGAGAATTTTGAAATAAGATTCTGAAGTCTGTTGTGCTTCACATTTCCAAAGACTTTCCCTATTTAGAAAATAGTCTATGCCTCTATTCTTCCTACTAAAGTGCATAACTTCACACTTTCCCATATTGTATTCTATCTGCCACTTCTTTGCCCACTCTCCTAGCCTAAGTCCTTCTGCAGCTTCTCTGCTTCCTCAACACTATGGGCCACTCCACTTATCTTTGTATCATCTGCAAATTTATGAGCAATGCCCTCGACTCCTTTGTCTAGATTATTGATGTGCAACATGAATAGTTGTCCCAACACTGATGACTCTTGAACTCCACTTGTCATCAACCTGAAAAAGGCCCTTTCCTCCCTACTCTCTGCCACACAGTCAATCCTCTAAACCAGTATATTGCCCCTAACCATGGGGTCTTATTTAGCACCTCCTCTGTGGCACCTTGCCCTCTGGCAATCCAAATACATCACATTCACTGCCTGCTTTGTCTAACATGCTCGTTGCCTCCTCAAAAAATTCTAACAGATTTCATGCATGACCTCTCCTTGACAAAGCTATTCTGACTCAGCCTATTTACTATGGACTTGCAATTACACTGCAATCTTATCCCAGTGACCCTTATGCAGAACACTTCAACAGGAGTGTTACATTAGCATTTTTCAGTTGTCTAGAACCCTCCCTGACTCCAGCAATTCCTGAAAGATCACCACCAATGCCTCCATAATCTCCTCATTTATCTCCTTTAGAACTGTGGGCTGTAGTCCATCTAGTCCGGGTGACTTATTCCAGACCATTCAGCTTCCACAACACCACCACCTGTGTGACAGCCACTACCTAACCTCCATCACATTCTGTTGAAGTTCTGGTATGCTGTCAGTGTCTTCTTCACTTCCGCATCCCACACCTCATGAGTTTTATGAGAACCACATGACCTTGGACCAAGCGACAAAGGAGCCACTAATGGCACCCAATATGTTGGATCCTTCCCAGACTAGCGCACGGCCTTCATGAAAATAGCAAAGGAAAGAAAAAAATACTTTCCAGTAGCTCGGATGCAGGGAAAAAGGGCAATCGCTTTGAGTTATTTTTGACGTTGAGGTTGTTGATTTGGTTCGATTCATCCATGGCACACGAAGGCAGGTTTTGGAACTTTAAAGCCCCCGCCCGCTAGTGCACAGTGCGCAGGTTCGGACGCTGTCGCTCCGCTTCGATTCGATTCGGTTTTTGACAATACGCATGCGCGGACGTCTCCTTTACCCGCCCTCAGCAGTAATTTGACAGCGCGCAAACGTAGTCTCACTGACCCTGCCATACTCTTCTTGGGTATTTGATAGAGCGCAGGCGCTGGAATATTATCCTGCCGCAATATCCGGCACCTTGACAATGCGCATGCGCTGGAACGTTTCCCCGCAACGCATCCCGGCGCTTTGATAGTGCGTAGGCCCCGCAGTGGCCGCGCCTCCACACACGGCATTTTGACAGTGCGCAGGCGCTGAAACTTGCCCCGCCGCCCTTCCCGACACTTTGACAATGCGCAGGCGCTGGAAATGTTCCCGGATTCACACTCGGCAGTTTTAACAGTACGCAGACGCAAAAGCTCGCTCCTCCTTCCTCCCGGATGGTTCGTTGGCAGCGCGCAAGCCCAGCCGCTCTGGCCCCACCTCCCTCTCCGGCTATTTGACAGTGCGCAGGCGCGGGTGCTGTCTCCTTCACTTCGCCCTTAAAGCCGGTGAGAGCTCCAGAGCCTGAGCAAAGAGCTAGGTAATAGATGCTAGGAGTGTGAGTAAACCCTACAGTGATCGCTGTCTTCGGGCAGGGGAGTGCAGTCTCAACAGCAAGGACCCTTGCGAGGCTGGGACTATGGTGGTGATCGGCACCTTGTCGGGGCGAGGAGGAGTCCGGGCTCCGGTTTAAAATCTAAACCGTGTAAAATGGCGCCGGCGTCTGTGTTTGGGCTGCTGGGCCGGGTTGTGAGAGTCGGGTATTGGGTAGATGGAACTGAGGTCTTTCCAGGCAATAACCCGGTGCCGCTGTTTCTAGGGCCCAGAGTAGCAGCAGCCTCCCATTGAGTCAAGGTGATCGCTTTGACCTCAGCAGCATCCTGCTAGGCCTGACGATCAGTGCCTGGATTTTTCATCCCTTGAATCTCATTGAATTAAACGTCTTCCCTCACCACCGCCACATCCCACCGAATTTGCATTGACCTAGTTGTAATATTTCATTCCTCCCACGTGCCGATTGTTCGCCTTGCCACCAAATGTAGGAAGTCCCAAGATTTATTTATTGAGGGCTTTTCCCTAAGGGGTTAATATTCTAATATTGCTGCATTGCATAGAAGGACGACATGTGCGTTTGGGAGGCTGACTGAATGTCATGCGTTTCTTTTGGGTCACGCCTTTTCTTTACGTCTGTGATGTTGTGATGTCTGTCCTGCAGTGTCCATTAGATTTCTGTTTTCTGTTACTGTATTAATAGTGAGCTAGTGACTGATTTTTTTTTTTTGCTGTTTTACAAGAAAATGAAACATGCTTCTTCGGTTTCGTTATTAGGGAGTGGGGCTAGAGTAAATACTTTAAAGTTTTTTAGCATTGAATTGGCAACATTTTTCCTTAGGTTTGCCATTCTATTTGAAACGAGCACCAATATTAACATAAAAACCGAATGAACTGCGGAAGCTGTAAACGAGAGACAAAAATAGAAATAGCCGGAAAAGCTCGGCAGGTCTGGCAGAACTGAGGAAGGGTCACTCGACCTGAAACGTTAACTTTGATTTCTCTCCACAGAAGCTGCCAAACCCTGCTGAGCTTTTCTAGCATTTTGTGTTTTTGTCATTTGATACTAATCTAATTACCTGAGAATAGATTAGATTAGTCAAAATTTCTGTCACTTTACTCTACTCCGCCTTTAAAGATCAAGAATTTGTCAGCTTGCACTACTTGTTTTACAGCTGTTGGAGATAACCGTGGTTGGGTAGGTATCCCTTATCAGTCTTGTCCGATTACTTACGATGGCTGCATAATCTTAGTGTAGTTTTTCTCTCAAATTTAGACACCGATTTCACTTGAATTCTTGATGAGTTGTAAAAGTACGTATGTAGAGTGTAGGAGAGAGGAGATAGGAATAATTTTTTTATTCATGTCCATATTTTTGATTAATTTGAATGTGTCTCATTACTGACGCTGGGGTTTATCTGCAATGGAATCAACTACTGTCAGCCCTTTCTGAAACACTTCCATAGTTGTAGGCAAATTGATTCAATTGCACTTTTGTAAAACCTTTTGATTTTTGAAGTGGCTGGTTTTGTTTCAAAGTTTTGATTTTTTTAAAATATTAGTAACGTAAAGGTTCTAAGAAATCACAATATTTGCAATATAAAAACCGAAAGAACTGCAGATGCTGTAAATCAGGAACAAAAACAGAAGTTGCTGGAAAAGCTCAGCAGGTCTGGCAGCATCTGTAAAGAAAACAGAGTTAATGTTTCAGGTCCAGTGATCCTTCCTCAGAACTATTCTAAGGAAGGGTCTCCAGACCCGAAACATTAACTCTGTTTTTTTTGCCTTCACAGATGCTGCCAGACCTGCTGAGCTTTTCCAGCAACTTCTGTTTTTGCACTTGTTTACAATGTTTTAAGGAAATTCAGATCCTTTGGCATGTAACTTTGCCAACAGATCCTGTTTAATGAGTCCACGGTAAACCTTTAGCTACAAAGGAATCAATTGTTGTGCAAGTGGAATTATATCCAAACATTAAATAAGTTATTGTAGATCAAGTTACGTTTTAACTAACAAGCTGTTGGGTTGAATGTGAAAGATGTTGTAAAGTAAAATTTTATTCTCGATGTAGTTATTTGATACTTTTACACTCTATTTCAATTTGTTTTGCACACTTAAAAATCAAAATAGCAACCCAGTAAATATGCAGTTATTGAAAATTGTTCTTGAATTTTAAATAATGAAAGAAGGGCTGAAGAGTGCATGGAATAACTGCAACAGTGGCTCATTCCTATCTGGCACAAAAATAAAACTGGAAAGGTGGCCTGACTGAAATTAGAATATTAGATCCAAGAAAAGGTGTACAAAATGGTCATGAAAAGCAACAGACCTGAGGATTTGGGAGCAAATCAGATTTCAGCAAAGGAAGACAAAGGAATTGATTTAGGAGGTGGAAAATAGACTGAAAATAAGCTTGCAGGAAATGTAGAAACTGATTGACTGTAAAATCTTCCATAGGTATTTGAAGGGAAAGTGAATATTTAAGACAAATGTAGGTATCTTACAGTCAAATGGGCACTTTTAATAGGGAAAGATGGCTAATATATACATATTTTGGTTCTGCCTTCACAGGAGGACACAAATACGTCCCAAAAACACATGCTGTAGTGACTGGAAGAATTGAAGGAAATGGGTATTATTAGGGAACAAAAGTTGGGGAAATTGATTGAATTAGAGGCCAATAAATCCCTGGGGCCTGGTAATCTACCTTCTAGAGTTGAGGAAATGGCCCTAGAAGTAGTAGATGTGTTAGTGGTCTTTTTTTTTCAAGGTTATAATAGACTTTGGAACAGTTGTAGATTGGAAAGTAGCTGATGTAACCCAACTACTTATAAAAGGGAGTTGCAGAGAAAACCAGTTAGCCTGACAGTAGTAAGAGGGGAAAATGATACAGTTCGTTATAATAAGATTTGACAACAGAACACTTTAAAAGCAGTGACAGGATTGGACAAAGTCAAAGTGGACTTACAAAAGGGAAATAGAGCTTGACTAATCTACTGGAATTTTTCAATGCAGTAACTGTAGAGTTAAGGGGGAGCCCGTCGATGTGGTTTACCTGGACGTTAAGAAGAGTTTTGATATGGTCCCATTATGAGATTAGCATGTAAAATTAAACTGCCCAGGATTGGGTCTGGTGTGCTGACATGGATAGAGAACAGGTTGGTAGATAGGAAACAAAGAAGAAATGGTCTTTTTCTGAGTGGCAGACAGTGATTAGTGGGGTACCTTGTGGTCAGTGCTTGGATCCCAGCAGTTTTCAATATATAAATTTTAATGCAGCAATGAAATGTAACATCTCCAAATTTGCAAACTAAGCTGGTTGGGAGGGTGCACTGAGAGGGAGATGCAGCAATACTACAAATGTGATTTGGACAGGTTGAGAGTGAGCAAGTGCATGACAGATGAAGTATAATGTGAATTAAATATAATGTTATCCACTCCGGTAGCAAAGACAGGAAGGCTGATTATTATCTGGATGGTAATTCAGAAAGAGGATTTGAGTACAGGAGCAGGGATGTCTTGCTGCATTCGTACTCGTCCTTGGTGAGACCACACCTGCAATATTGTGCGCAGTTTTGGTCTCATGAGGAAGGATGTTCTGGCTACAGAGAGGGTTCAGCTAAGATGTACCAGACTGATTGATTCTTGGGATGGTAGGACTAACCTATGAAGAGAGACTAGATCGGTTAGGACTATATTCACTGGAGTTTAGAAAATAAGGTAGGATCTACAAAGTTCTAACAGGATTAGACAGGTTAAATGCAGGAAGGATGTTACAATAACTAGGGAGTACAGAGCAAGTGGTCATAGTCTAAGGATATGGGATATGCCATTTAAGACTCAGTTGAGGGGAAATTTCTTGAGAGTGGTGAGTTTGGTATAACTTGGGGGTGAGGGGATTCAAGGGTAGATGATGAAAGTGGTAAAAGGATGGTGAGTTGGGTGGTTGTATTGAATGGAAGAGCTGAATGGCTTACTCCTCCCATTTCCTTAATTTCCATGGCTTTCATTTTAGTATTGCTCAAGTGAAGCAGTGAGTCACAATTTCCACTGAAAGGAGCATCTAAACTCCTGATTGCTGTTTGTTACACGCCATCAAGTCTTTTAAAAAAGAATATCCTTAATCTTTGCATTCAAAAATATCTATCTTCACATAATGAACAACATGCACCCTGTTAATGCTGTTGTGGCATAAACCAAGTACAGGGTATTACAGTTTTTGTAAAGCAATGTTATTCGGCTATGTTACATTCTCTTGTGACAAACAATATTTCCAGATTGGTTTTTTTTCCCCTGATACTGTCGTCTTGATCCTTATTGACCACGAGAAATGGAAATGGAGGCCGGTTTGTTCTGAGTGAGGGAGGTATTGTGGAGCCAGTAAGAGTGTTATTTCTCTGAAGGATAAAGCATATTGACAGGGCAGTCCATGCTTTGGTATTCCATCTCACTACTGGGGTCACGTTTTTAAAAATTAGTTTCCATCAATGATGCCATAGTCTCACCACAGTTAAATGATGACCCTGTAAATACTTTTCAAATTTGCCATCCCTAAACTAGAAGGTTACTAGAATTGCAGAAACGTGTGATCCTGTGCAATTTGACACCTAATGCAAAGATGGCAGTACTCAGCAATTCTGTACGTGATGCTCTTGGCAATATTCTTTATTAAGCGGCTGAGAATTGCTGTCCATGTTGAAGCTGCAGTGATTTTAGTCAATATCATCAAAGATGTACAATAACTTTCAAGTCTTGCTGCACTGTTTTCTCTTTCTACATTTCACAACTGTGACAAGTGGTTTTGCTTTTCTGTCTTTTTATCTACTAAAAATGTTGTATTAGCTGTGTCATTCTTGGTTGTGACTTGCTTGGAAAGCATAAGGCAGGACAGTTGGTGGGGGGAGCGGTTTGAACAAATATTGACAAATGACTGGTGCCAGCTTTGAGATTCAAAAGCTTGAGTTGTAGTCAGGAGGGACAATTGAGGAAACTAAGTACATCTAATCCAGAGTAGAAGACATGGTATTGATGTCTATACAGTGGGTGCAGAATGGTACAATTGGAATTTCGTATGAAGTCGACTCAGATGAGCATAGACCACATAATTAAAGTAAAAGTAAACAAGTTTGTCTGGGAGGAAAAAAGGAAAATGCTTAGGGGATTTGAGCTAGAAAAATTGGCTGTCAAATGAAACATTTATTTTATTCTAGATAGAATCTATACTGGGAGCGAAATCTGGTACATCTTTCAGAATATATGCTACTTCCATTTTGTTTCGTCAGTGGTATTATTTATCAGAATGGATTAACTTGATCAATGTGCCTTACTCTTACACTCCTTGTTTCTGCACTGTTCATGACCATCGAACTCCAGGGAGTGAGTTTCAGGATCATATTCCCCTTACATATCTTGTCATTTTTTAATCTGGCTTAAAACCAGTGAAAGAAACCATGGTATATTGTTTAGCTTTACCTTCCTCACCACAGTAATATTGATTGTGGAGGTTCCTCAGTTTCAATCCTGGCAATGAGATTTTCCACTGAATTGTACACTAGTTGAATTTTTAAATCTTCTTTGCATTTGTCCAGTCAAGGATAAATATCTGCAGTTGCAGACATTAACAAGAAGGGCTGCTTTTTAAATTTCTAAGTAATGAAGCAACTTGTTGGCAAATAGCTTGAATCTTAGTAGCAATTTTTCACTCTGGTTTTGTTATCCTGCATTGTAAACGGACACCCCACCCATGTAAAGAAGAGCATGAGTATTTTGCTTGTATGACACAGGAATTAAAAGATGTACTTTTCAAATTTATTTTGCTTGTAGACTAACTTCCGTCAGGCAATTACTATTGCTAGGCAGGCTAAGACAAAGTGACAGCTGGTCTTATACCATGGAAGTTGTGGGAGGTAACTAGAGCATACACATGCATTGGAAATTAACATTGAAGTTATTCTTCACTGTGTACATTGGCCATACTTTGGTTAGTCTTCTTGCCAATTGTAGGAGTTAGCGTTCTCAATGGAGAAAATAGTGTGCATGGTTGCGCCTATTTTTTTGAGTCAAGTTTTTAATAGACTTAATGCTATTTTTGTTTTGCATGTTGCTGATTACCTCACTTCACATAGTGAAGCAGTGTCCAAAGAGGATGAAAATTTTGTTACTAAATGAAAGCCACCCTTCCTCAACCCTTTCATCTGTTTATGGCCCTTGTCGCCCAGGAGGGTTCAACTCCTCTTCCCACTCCGTCACCTGTGTCTACGATCCCCTTGCTTCACTGCTGGGGTAAAGCACAGCTGAAGGAAAGTTTTATAAAATGACAGATTTGATGATCAATAATCAATCTTTCTTGTTTTAGATTTTTTTTGAGAAATGGCTGCAACTAAAACAAAACCGTGGTGGATGAATGGGCACAGGGAGTGGAGAGAGGAGTGAGAGGAACGCACGCACTTTAAATCATTTGATATTTGTGCAAAGATGCACTCGCTGCAATTTTCAATTTCTAGATAATATTTCAAGATCAAAAACGGATTATTGATTTTTGAATGTGTTCTTGCTGTGCAGTGAAGGGCTAGGATATTTATTTAAGATTGAATGTTTGTAGAATTGTATAAGATGTTTCTTAATTGTCAGTAGCCAGATTCAGTGCATTTTGTGCACTGCTGTATTTGTTTTCATGTACTGTGTTTTTAATTTCAACTACGTTGCTGAAATGTGTTTAAATTCAACAAATTAAATTGGTTCACACTTCTGTGTGACCCTTCTAGCAGCTACCTCAAGTGAGGAGAACAGAAGTAGGCTATCTCTTTGCAATATTTAAATAGCATATGATTTACCTTATTTAGGGGAGGGATGGCTGTGAAGAATAGAGTAGAGGAGATTGCAGGGGAAGTTAGTGTTTTTTTGGCAATGAGCATTGCAGAATAAAATGGTGAAATATTTAGAGCTACCTGGCAAGCTTCTGTATTTACTCTTTGACAGGCCAGGATTCCACTGACTGCAGCTACAAACTTGGGTTGTTAGAGAAGGAAGAAACCATTGGGGTTCTTTTTAGTTTTAAAGTAAGATGCTATTTAATCCTGGCCTGGTGGTTGAGTTTTGGTCATCATCTATCTGTCCTTTGTCCTAGAGTCTTGCAGGATGTTTGCTGTTGGCTATTATATCAAATGTAATAGGCCAAATCAAATATGTAAGTTATTAAAAGCCTTGTGACTAGAGGGCTTATGATCTGATTATTATATTGCATTTAAGGCTGTATAACTGGATTGCATATTTCAATGTTATTTGTCCAGTAGTGAGGAGTAATAGAATAGCACTATATGTAGCTTTGTTGCTTAGTGGTTGAGGGACAGTATTTTAGTATATTGAGCTACTGGTGGATATTTTCTGTAGGAAATCTCGGGTGTCATTTAGTCAAAAATTAAATGGTTAATGAACCCACTTTTTCCAAAGACTTAACTTCTTACATTGCAAGGGATGTTGGCAGTTTTCTTGCCCACGATCCTGATTGAAGGTTTATCACTTAATCCTGATAAACCTTCCTGTTTTCCAGGACTAGCTTGGGAAGGCCAGGTTTGGCTTTTGTGCCTTTAAATTTTGTCAGGGGTGTTACTGAGTTTTATTTGCTGAAAGTGTGATACTGTATTTACATTACGCTGAAAAGCAGACAATGCTTTGTTCAGGTTAGAAACCTTTTCAAATGTTGAAGTTACAGCACAGAAGGGAAGCCGTTTGGCCCTTGACTCTTTGCTTAAGTTATCTAAAACTAATCTCGTATCTACCACTAACATCCTCTTCAGTACTTAAACTGGTTTTAGGAATATTTGAGGGCTATTCGCAACACAAACCTAACATTTTAAACTTGTATTGCCAATATTTGCTGCATTTCCAATTGTGGAAGTTGCTTTCAAACTCCCTTTTGGAGATGGGGTTTTGGGAACAGGAGTAGGCCATTTAGCTACATTAATTTTTTCTTTTAAATAGATGGTTTGTACCTTCCCTTCATTTGATTTGCTTTTTTTAATATTAAACGCTTCCTGATATTGATCTTTGAATGGCCTAGCTCTTATTTTATTTTCCTTGTTCTGGACTGTCTTTGGAGAAAAATTCTACAATTAAAAAAAATCTCCATTAGATCACCCATTAATCTTCTGTACTAAAGAGAATAGATGCCTAGTCTATGCAACCCTCTCTTCATAATGTAACCCTACAGATGCCTGTTGTGCCTTTCTTTTCCTGTCAGTTTCTGCAGTTGTTAAACTGCTGTCAGCTGCACATTGTCACCTAATGCAAAGCTTAGTACCAACTTTCATCTTTTGAGCAATCTCATTGCAGTTCTGTGAGGTGTAGAGGTAGTTACAATCTTGGAGTAATTTCCTGGGGAATTCCTAAACAGAACTGTTCGGTTTAGTAATGATGTAGTTTGTTTTTGGGTGGTAAATCGTTTGTTTAAAACGAAGTCTGGAAATTAACCAGTCTGGCCACATTTGTGAAGAGAGAAACAATTAACATTTCAGATCAGTTATCTTTGACAACTGGAAAAAGGTAATGACAGAAAAGATTTTGAGCGAGTGCAGAGGAGTGGGAGAGAGAACAAATGGAAGCTCTGTGACATTTTGGTCAATTGTTGCATTATTTTTTGTCCTCAACAGGTAGAATGGCTGTACCTCCATCATATGCAGACCTTGGCAAGGCGGCCAGAGATATTTTCAACAAGGGCTATGGTATGGTATTTTTATATTCAGCATTTATAAAATTTATTAGGTTAACTTCTAACTTTCTCCTTTCTTTTTGCTGTCTTTAATGCTGTTCAGTTAGGTTTCAGATCAGCTAATCACACCATGTAGCTCTGTCTCTGGCTTTTGACTAATCCATTTTTGTACCCAGTTTCCTGTATTTAATGTAGACAAACAGGAGGCTGGAAGAACACAGCAAGTCAGGCAGCATTTGAAGGAGAGAAGTCAACATTTTGTGTATTACCCTTCAGAACTGGATGTGTTTGTCAGGGGAGCTGCAGATAAAGGGGAGAGGGGTGTGGGTGGGGAAAGAGGGATGTAGCAGATTGGTGGTGATAGTGGACACAGGTAGTAGGTACACCCTGGTTGGTTGATGGAAGGGAGGGTCAGCAGGTGAAATGGAAAGGAGGATATGGGGGTGGAGCTGGGGGATGGCTGGGAAGGTTATTTGAAATTAGAAAACTCCATGTTGAGTCTTCTGGGCTGTAGGCTGCCCAGGAGGAAGATAAGCTGTTCCTAAAATTTGCGTTCTGAATCGCTGCAACACTGGAGGAGGCCAAGGACAGACATGTCGGAGGGGCAGTTGGGAGGCGTGGGGGCGGCGTTGAAATGGGCAGTGACCGGAAGGTTAGGCTGGCTGTTACAGGCCAGGCTAGGATGCTTGGTGAAACGGACACCTAGTCTACGTTTGGTCTCACTGATGTAGAGAAGGCCACATCGAGAGCACTGGATGCAATAGACTAGGTTGGAGGAGATGCAGGTGAAGCTCTGTCTCACCTGGAAGGACTGTTTTAGAGCCCTGGATGGAGGTGAGGGAGGTAGCGTATGGATAGGTGTTGCATCTTCTACGCTTTCAGGGGAAGGTTCGGGGAGGATTGGAGAGTATGGCTTGAACTAAGGAATGGCGGAAGGAATGGTCCTTGCAGAAGGCAGAGAAGCGTGGACAGTGGAAGATGTTCTGGGTGGTGGGGTCTAAATGGAGTTGGCGGAAGTGTTTGAGGATGATATGTTGGATGCGGAGGCTGGTTGTGTGGAAAGTGAGGACAAGGGGGACCCTATCTTTATTATGGGGGGGATGTGGTTTAGAGCTATGGAGGGCTGTCTGGATGACGAGGGTGGAGGTGCAGAGGAAAGAGCGTTGTTTGGAAAAGGACCTCTGGGAGTGGAACGTCATCTCCTCGTCAGAGCAGATGTGATGGCGATGGAGGAATTGCGAAAATAGGATGGAGTTTTTCCAGGATAGTGTGGAAGGAGATGTAGTCTAGGTAGCTGTGGGAGTCTATGGGTTTATAGTAAATGTTGGTCTGTAAACTGTTCCCATTTCTGATGGCAGAGGTCAAGAAAGGAGAGGGAGGTGTCTGAGATAGACCAAGTGGATTTGAGGGCAGGGTGGAAGTTGTTAGCGAAGTTGATGAACTGCTCCAGTTCAGCCTGGGTGCAGGATGCAGCACCGATGCAGTGTTCAATGTAACGGCGGAAGAGTTGGGGAACAGTATAGGTGTATGTACTGAAGACGGACTGTTCAACATAACCGACAGAGGCAGGTGTATCTGGGAGCCCATGTGAGTTATCATGGCAACCCCCTAGATTTGGAGAAAGCGGGAAGAATTGAAGGAAAAGATTGACTGAGAGGACTAGTTCAAGGCAGGGGAGGGTATTGGTGGGGGGGAACCGGCTAGGTCTGTTGGAGAGGGAAGAACTGTAGGCCGTCCTTGTGGGGTATGGACTTGTATAGGGATTGAACATCCATAGTAAAGATGAAGGGCTGGGGGCCAGAAAACTGAAAGTTTCTGAAGAGGTAGGGGGGCGTGGTTTGTGTCCCGGCTGTAGGTGGGGAGTGCCTGGACCAAGGTAATGTACGTACTTTAGAAGGAAATTGGCTATGTAATGAAGTGTAAAACGTTCCCCACCCCCCCGCCCCCAATTAAGTAACATATTCCACGGTGTTCACTTATTTCAACGTCCCAGTTGTTCACAGAATTTGTTTTGTATTTTGTTCTTACAAGTTAATGGTTACAGTAGGAAAAGCAGTTGTACATTATTTGTCCAAACAACTGTTCACAATTTGAATATTCTCCTCCACCCAAACATCTAGTATTGTAAGCTTTTCTTCATAACTTGCTTTCTGTTTTCTTACTTGGTTAGGATAGATCCTATGTTTTGTTTTGTTGGTTTTAACCCCACCCATATGAGGTGTGGCTGGCTTCCAGTCAGAATTGAATCACCTTTTCACTGCTCTGGCACAACAAAATTGGCCAACAGCTATTCTATTAATAGTGAAACGAAGGCCTCAACTGTACAATGTTTTGATCAGTACAAGAGTGAAGTTGTGGAACTTGATGAGTGAACTTTGTACCACGAGATCGGTGTCCAGTATGTTAGCTATATCCAGATGTTGACTTTGGGAATTTGCTATCTATTCTTATTTACAAGGCATGAATTTTGGTTGAGATGATAAAATGAACAGAGCTGGTGAAGCTTTGTTTTACCTCTTGTGGTAGATGTTTAAATATGTACAGGTGCAGTATTCCCCTGTATTGCAAGTGTATGCAAGATATTTTTTTAGAGTTAGTATCTTTGCTTAAAATGGTGAAACTAGAGGGTCAGAAATGACCCAGTGCCATGCTGGACAAGTAAGAAAGGCTGCAGTAACAGGCAGACCGACCTCTTATCCACTAATTTATCTAAGTCTGAAGTCCTATTTCAGATACCAGATTCGTGAGATCCCTACAAGAAGTATTGTCTTCAGCATCTGTCTGGGCCATGGCACTTAATTTACATTGCAGAATTATTGTCTGCATACAGCATTAAGGGGCAGCTGCTGGTTGACTCAATTGTGCATGCAGCCTGAAAACTCTGACAGTCTTTGGTCACTGACAAACCAGACCAGCACTCGTGATAAATAAGTGTCACCTTTGACATGTATACCAATGCAACAATGCTGTCTGCCAGCTAATGGCTGGTTCATAGACTCGTTCAGTTGCTCATATACAATTGGCTTGCCATTTTACTGAAATCACACTTTTTTAGAATTAGTAACATGGCAGAAGTGATAATGTAAATGGACACACTGAGATCAGATTAAAAATAGTGTTTGTATGGCAGTGTAATTGAGAGACCTGGAATTGATATCAAGCCAGTATTTATGTTTTATGTCTCAAAGCCAGCTGTTTAGCAGGACAGTGCAGAGGTGGCTATTTGAGCAGCATGATTGTAATATAAGCTTTTGGTTTTGGTCACTATAGATTTAAAGTTGTTTGTGTATTTACTGCTAAATGCCAATTTTCATGAGTCAGTTGTGCTTGGTGTTAAAGCTGCTGTCTATATTAAAATTACTAAAATTTGCATTTGCTTAACTTAACCTAAACTTAATTAGCCATATAAACATTCTGGCTGCAAGAGCAGATTAGAGGCTAGGGATCTCGTGGTAGGTAACTCATTTGACTCCCAAAACCCGTTCATCTGTAAGCACCAGCTTGGGAGGTTATGGAAAATTCCTACTTGCTCGGATGAATGCAGCTCAAACAACACTTGAGCAACTTGTCACCTTCAGGACAAAGCAGCTCTTCTGGCTCTACACTGTCAAATATTTACTCCCTCCTCCAGTGATGAGCACAGTAACAGCAATATACGCCAGGTATAAAAGCACTGCAGGAATTCCTGAAAGCTGCTTCCACAGCACTTGCAAACCCATGACCACGTACATCTAGAAGAACAGGTGCAGTTGATACATGGGCACACCAGCACCTGCAAGTTCCCCTCCAAGCCATTCACCGTCCTGATTTGGAAATATATCACCATTCCTTTAGTGTTGCTGAGTTAAAATACTAGAACTTCCTCTTAATGCTGTTTTAAATGTACTGTAGAAGTTCAAACCGGCAGTGAGCTGCCACCACTTTGACAATGGCTGGGAATGGTCAATAAATGCTGCAGCCAGCAATGACAATGACCATAAGTGAATTTTAAAGAAAAGATATCTATTATGTGCTGTAGTAGTCTCCTGGCTGCTAAAACACACATTGCTAACTTGGCCAAACAGCAAGGGATGCTGGGTACATTGGCCAAGTAAAACTCTGAAATCACAAAACCCACATGCAAACACAGCAGCCAGGTGCTATAACATTAACATAATGTAAAGGGCAATAGTTCATCTGGACGGACAGACAGACCCCAACAACACATCCCCTAAACAAAGGAGAGCTCGGGTAGAAAGGCACTGGGTCCTGCTACACAAAGAATCTAACAATAGCATGCCATCTAAATGATTGACTGTTGTTTAAAATTAAGTGTATCTCTCTTTGTTTGGCCAGAAGTCTAGAAAGTTCCAGAAAACCATCTAGAAAGTATAAAAACAGGGCTCCCCTGCAGACCCCACACTCTGTCTTCTGACGAGAACAGCATGGTGAGGCAAGGTCAGAAATCACAACACCTGGTTTATAGCCCAACAGGTTTATTTGAAAGCACAAGCTTTTGGAGCACAACCCCAATGTCAGGTGAAGTGAGAAAGAAGCACACAGTGCGCAGAATTTATAAGTAAAAGATCAAAGGGTCACGCAACTGAGGATGTATCAAACCTAAAGATGCTGTTAAATCTTTAATCGGTTAGGAGGTTTTAATTGATTAATATGTATATGTAAATCCCTGAATTTCTTTCAAGTCACTGCCCTGAGAGAACTAAAGGTTTTATCGGTGTAAAGGAGGTGACGTTTTAGGTCAGACATGACGAGAGGCAGAGAACAGCTGACCATCCAGAGAGAGAGGAAGAAAGCAGCTTTGCCAACCTGGAGACACAGCGACTGTGTAAATTTACAAGTGACTCAAAGTATTGTAACCTGAAGGGGCCAAATAGGATTAGGGATAGTATGTTTGGTATTAAAGATTCATTTTTTTGCTAATGTGGGACATTTTGCTTTGCTAATAGCAATTTGTATAGGATCTGTTTCAACTGGTGACTAATCTGTGCAGATGTACCTCATTAGAATTCAGAGGGCATTGGTGATGTGATTCTTCTGTTTTCCAGGGTTTGGTTTGATAAAGCTTGAAGTCAAAACCAAGTCACAAAGTGGAGTGGTAAGATCAGTTAATTCTTATCTGCACTTTAAAAATTATTTGACAGATATGTAAATGGATAAATGTGCTGTTAATCAATATTATGGATATTTTGCCGAACAGCATCCAGAGGAGCTGTTCAGCAGCATTTGCTCAATACTGAGGGATCTGAGCAGCATGAGTAGTGAGAAACCATTTTCATCAGTGGAAGGGTGGAAAGCCAGCTTTTAAGGTAGATAACATACAAATGTACAAATTGAGAGTAGGCCATTTCACTCCTCAAGCCTGTGCTGCTATTCAGTAATATCACAGCTGAACTGATTATTCCACATGCAAGTCTATCCCTGAGAACCTTTCACTCCCTTTTAATTATCAAGAATCTATCCGCCTTTGTCTTGAATATTCAAAAGGTGGTGGAAGCAGAGTCCCAAAATTCTTTACCCTGAGGGGGAAAAAATTTGCTGTCTTTGTCTGTTTTAGATGAGCAATCGCTTATTTGTTTGAAACGATAATTCCCAGTTCTTCATCCTAAATAGGAAATGTCTTATTGGACCCTGTCAAGACCCTTCAGGATCATTTAAGTTGTCTCTTGTTTGTCCTAAACACCAGATGATGCAAAGCTAGCCTGTCTAACATTTCCCCATAAGACAAGCCACTCACCATCCTGACCTGAAACTGAGTGGCAGTTCCATTGTTGTAGCTAGGTTCAAGTCTTGGAACTCGAGTCATAACACTGCAGATATATTTGCACCCGTTCAAGAAGGTAGCTCACTGTCACCGCCACATCTACGGTAATTGGGGATGGGCAATAAATTCTGGCCAAGTCAATGATGCCCACATCCCTTGAAGAAATACTTAAAAACCGTTATAAGCTGATTCAGAGCAATGATGTGATAATATTGAAGTGTGTGTATATTTGATGCATTGTATGTTTGTAGTTTATCATACTTGATGTTTGTCTGTTCCCCCTCAATGTTGGACGGAGGCACGTAGAGTGAGATGTTTTAAATGAAAGTACAGTCAGTCATGATGGATCCTTTGGTGTCTAATTGAAATGACATTGATTTCAAAGAGCTTCAACCAGATGAAAACAATGTTACAGTTGCACGAGGAGGCCGTTCAGCCCATTTTGCCGCACTGGGTTATTAAAATGAGCATCATTATCTGATGCCAGCCTCCTGCCTTCTTCCCATACTCTTGCACTTTATTTTTATCCAAATAATTATCAAGTGCCCTCTTGAATGCCTCAGTTGAACATACCTCCACCACACTTCCAGTCTATGTATTTCAAACTGTAATTGTTCATTGAGATTTGTTGTATTTCTTATTTTACCCTTGTTTCATTTGCAAGTCACTTCAAATCTATGCCCTCTTGTTCTTATTTTCTTTTGTAAGAGCACTATCCCTATCTACTATGTAACCTGTTCATGATTTTGAAAGCCTCTATCAGATTTCCCTTTGGCTGCCTTCTGTTCAAGGCGAACAGTCCTAACCTCGAGTCTGTCTTCATGACTGAAATTCCTTATCTTTGGGACCATTCTTATAAACAGCTTCTGCACACTGTCCAATGCATTCACATCCTTCTGATAATGTGGCACCCTTGTTGTACACAATATTCCAGCTGAGGTCTAACAAATGTCTTGTGTAAGTTCAACGTCACCTGCCTTGCTCTTGTATTCTATGCCCATATTAATAAAGCTGTGGTTGCTGTCTCTGTCCTGTCACTCTAAATGATCTGTGCATGTATATGCCCAGGTCTGTCTATTCCTGCAGCAACCACTCCTCCCCGCCTTAGAATTGTGCCCCCTATTTATCTTTCCTTGAATCCAGCGTTTTATAGAAACTGCTTGGACCTTGCCTGTAACGGGGCCATGTAACAAACTGGGATCAGTTGTTAATTCTGGTCAACTGTTTGTGTTATTTAGGGTGATTAAACATTGAGCAGTGAAGTGCATGTGAGGCATAACAATTCTTCCCATACTCTCTGTAAATAGAGATCCTTACAGTATTTAACCGCTTTGCAGAACACCTACGCTCGGTTCGCAACAAACAACTGCACCTCCCAGTCGCGAACCATTTCAACTCCCCCTCCCATTCCTCAGACGACATGTCCATCCTGGGCCTCCTGCAGTGCCACAACGATGCCACCCGAAGGTTGCAGGAACAGCAACTCATATTCCGCTTGGGAACCCTGCAGCCCAATGGTATCAATGTGGATTTCACAAGTTTCAAAATCTCCCCTCCCCCCACCGCATCCCAAAACCAGTCCAGCTCGTCCCTGCCTCCCTAACCTGTTCTTCCTCCCACCTATCCGCTCCTCCCACCTCAAGCCGCACCTCCATCTCCTACCGACCTACCTCATCCCGCCCCCTTGACCTGTCCGTCCTCCCTGGACTGACCTATCCCCTTCCTAACTCCCTACCTACACTCACCTTTCCTGGCCCCATCCCCGCCTCTTCGACCTGTTTGTTTCTTCTCCACCTATCCTCTCCTCCATCCCTCTTCTATCCGCCTCCCACTCTCTCCCTATTTATTTCAAAACCCCCTTCCCCTCCCCCTTTTCTGATGAAGGGTCTAGGCCCGAAACGTCAGCCTCTCTGCTCCTATGATGCTGCTTGGCCTGCTGTGTTCATCCAGCCTTGCACCTTGTTGTCTAGTATTTAACTACTTCTTTCTTTTGTTGTGCCTCTGTTACATAGAAATCCATAGTTTTCCAACACCAAATCAGGCCATTCAGGCTTAATATATCTACACAGCTCATCACCACCTTCTCAAAGGCAACTAGGGACAGGCAGTGAATGCTGGCCCAGCCAGTGATAACCACATCTCCCAAGTGAATCTTTTTTTAAAAACTCAGTCCCTGTCATCATACTTCACCTCACCCTATTAATACTAGAAGAAATGGAATTTTCTAAAGTTGTGCTTTACAACATTGAATTGAGTGTCTTTTTTGGGAGGGGATCACTGATAGAACTTACTTTGGTAGTATTTGCCAATTGAAATATTGAGTAAGGCATATGGTACCTTCTGGAACTGGTTTTGGCCTTTGGCTACTGTAATCTCTGGGTGTTTTTCTCCATCACACTTTGCCAACAACCTTAGACAGGATGTAATGATGCCCCCAGCTGTCCTATATGCCATTCACTTTTTTTTTTGAAGCAGTGACTACTGTTCATAGGCATATTGTGGATGCCATTGGACTGGGTGGGCTCTGGGAGCTGCAACGTTATCCCTTGCCATCCACGCACCTGAAGGTACCATGTGCTTGAAATGCTCTTAAGCTCTCCAAGCTAAGATTGGCTAACATAGCTGAGATGAGGCTCTTCCCAATGTTTTTCCAGACTACTTTGGGATGTTGACATTGAGGTGTTGCATTGAATAAAAGTCAGCATTTGTCCCCAGGGAAATTTTTTTTATTGTAGAACTGGATGTGAATTTATTAGAAACTTAATTGGATCTGTGCCTAATAGCTATAAATTATAAAATGATATCCATTTGTAATCTGCAAAACCCTGTTAAATTGCTTTGTTTAAAGGCAAGTGTAAATCACTGTTTTCTTTGACGGGTAAATACAATGTATTTGCAAATGAATGAAACTGAATGGAAAAGGCCTGATTTCTCACTTTCTTCACTAAATTGACAGGAATTTACAACTTCAGGTTCATCCAACACTGAAAGTGGTAAAGTATCTGGAAGCTTGGAAACCAAGTACAAGTGGTCTGAATATGGCCTCACGTTTACAGAGAAGTGGAACACTGACAACACTTTGGGCACAGAGATTGCAATTGAAGATCAGGTAACAACTGGAGTGAAAGATCCAAATCTAGTATTGGTCTTAGTTTATGCTGGATTGTGTTGGGAACAGATCAGGAAGGCAAGGTAGTAACAATATCTTGTGCCAACTTGCCAGTCAGCATTATGGCTCACCTAGGTGGTGTTGATGTGCTGTTATAGTTTTGTGCAGTATTGTGCAATTTTTCACTTTTTAGAACAATCGGCACTTAACATAAAAAGTTGCTTTAAAGAAATTAAATGAGAATGATCGCATTAACTCTGAAAAGAATAGTGTCTTTACCTAGAATAGTGCACTGAAGAACTTACCTTTTTTCCTCTTACTAGCTTGCCAAAGGTCTAAAGTTGACGTTTGACACCACCTTTTCACCTAACACTGGGTAAGTATAACAATTAGAAATGGGACAGTTTTTTTTAAACTGAATTGTCTTGAGTATTAGATACTAAATTGTCCCAATTTTCTGTCTTCAGCAAGAAGAGTGGCAGAGTAAAGACTGCCTACAAGCGTGAATATATCAACCTGGGCTGTGATGTAGATTTTGACTTTGCAGGCCCTGCAATCCATGCTTCAGCAGTTGCTGGTTATGAAGGATGGCTTGCTGGTTATCAAATGTCCTTTGACACGGCCAAGTCAAAGCTGACCCAGAACAACTTTGCAGTTGGCTACAAAACTGGTGATTTCCAGTTGCACACTAATGTGTAAGTTCTGCTATTGCTATGATACTTAGCCATCAAGAGGTAGTGAACTTAAGCTGATATATTTTCCCTTGTATAGTACAAATGCAAATATTAAAATAATGAATGCTTGGGCTGTGCGACAGGAACACTTCCTAATAGTTGAACATTTTATTTCACTGGTTTGGATTAGGCTATTGTCTTGAGCCACCCAAACCAAATG